TATATATATATATATATACTATATCGTCAACAACTTACTCTCCTAATCTCATCCAATCCCGTATTAACGAGCTTGGAACGGATTACACGCTGTCCACGGTTATCCTTTATGAATAACATTGCAATTAATCATCGTCATGGTTAAAAAAAAAAAGAATAGAAGAAAAGAAACAATAGAAAAAAGACTGGTTAATAAATGCACGGAAGCAATTGTTATTGATATATATAATCCGAGGAGATAAATAGTCGCGTGTTATGTCTTGCAATTTTAATTTCGATATAAATTCGACAAAATTCTTCTCCGATTTTTCTTCTTCGATGACCAGAATTTGTCGAGCAGAAAATCTGTATTCCACGATACACGATAAACGTTAAAAACTCTTGCAAAAATGCTTGCTGTAAAAGCAAGCTGTCACACCCGATAAACGTGTTCCCCAACCGAAACAATCGAAACGAGCGATTCGCCTCGATTCTCCAAAACGGTTCTCTCACGCCAATAAATGTTTTTAACAGCGACGCGCGAATCAATGTTCTCCAGTGAGATTGCACTTTTTGCCAGATGAAACGGCGTTAACGCGAAACTGGCACTCGCCGCGGTCGCATTCCGGCACCCTTTCTTCGAGGAAAAGGAGCGGCTCCCCGGGAGGAAAAAAACCTCGATGTGAATCGCATTTTACACGAAACGTCGAACCACGATATTTGCAAAACCCATTTCTCCTACAACGTGTAAACCATAAAACCGATCTATTTTTCTTCGTCCTTTTTTTTTTTTTCTTTTTCTATTATATGGTTGCCAATCACGGCCACGAGAATCGTCGGAGAATCTTACCTTGGTTTATTCCTGGAGAGATTTTGCTCGGATCTTCTCTCGTTTATGTACAACGCGTCGATTTTCATGATTATTCGAAATTTAAAGAATATTGGTTCGCAAATATCCTTATCCAGTTTTTCTCGATCATTCTAAATCTAATTTAGATCATTATTATTTCAATTCTACTTTCCCAACTACATCCGCATCGAACCTTCTGCCGTCTTGTTTCAGCGTAATTACAGCTGATTTCACCGAGGCTTGAAAATATACCGATACTTTCGTAACACGGAACCATCACTCCTCCATCACTCCTCCATCGTTATTCATCATCGACATCTCGCGCGCGAGATCACGTCCGTGCGTTACCACCATCCCTTTCCTAACCTTTTTCGAAGTCGAAGTTAGTTTCATTAGGGCGAGAAAAGGCAGCGTTGCGGCAATAAAGTGTTCCAGATGCATCCTAGGCGATATCTCCGGGTTGAATGCCCAAGGATTGTAACGATAGACCACCCGCGGCCTGGCCACTTGCAGCCGTTATTCATCCAATTTTTTCGCGCGCCAAGAGGCGCAAGATTGCATCGTGGCGATGTTATCAGGTGCGAGTCGATCGTGTACCGGTGTGCACGTTTAATTTCCGGCTCCTCGATAAGCGAAACGACAAGAAATCCAGCCAGGAAAAGGACATACGCCAACGCACGCGGAAAGAGGAGGAGGAGGAGGAGAATCGATTGGTGGGATCGATCGCTTAATTCGCGAAATCAACGGGGAGAGGGAAGGCGTGGAATGGATTGGAACGGAATGGAATCGGTTGGTTGATCGGTGATTAAGAAGAGAGGGGGTGAGAGGGGAAAAAATTGTGGTAA